TTTCAAATCCAGAGCTCTCAGCCATTGAAATCTATGTATGTTTACATGGCGTACTGTCAAATCATTTTTTAGGCTTTTGGTGTTGGTATTTATTGCTCTCCTTATGTGCTCAGCTTTTGCATGAACGACTTGGAATATTACATTCTAAGCTGATTGGGAGTACATGTATTTGATTCCTTCCAATAATGAGCATGAAAAAAATTGCAGGCCTATTAGAGTTGGATTTTCCAACAAAAGAACGTGTCTTTTAAATATTCCACACACACAGACTTGTTAAAACCTTGTTAAATTTTCAAAGGAACTTATTTCCCTTTCAGACACAGTAGAATAACTTTTGTCAAAATGCTTGAAGCCCAGCAGTTCCCACTATTATTACCTTCCCTGCTAAGATGTACAGCAAGCACCTATGTGAAACTGAAATCATATGCAGTGGGTACTTTTTTGTGAATCAACCAAAGCAACTGCTTTGGTCCCTAATAAGAATGATATACACATTTTCCTTCTCTGTTTTTAGTTTTTAATAAAATATTTAAATACTGCAGCATACAACTATGGTAGGCAACAAAAGATGCCCAGCACGACCTTATGTGGATGTGCTGATTAGATTAAACATCATCTGCATTCTATATACAACTTTAACACCTCTTACATTGAGGATAAAGAGCTACACACACAGAACATCAGTAACCCAGTACTGAGACACTCTGGTAAACAGACAGCTGAGGATGTTCCATTTCAGGTTAAAGGTGGACTTATTGTGCACGTGTTGAACACATGAGCTGGGAGGTTTTACAAGTAGTTTATGACAGTTCAAACTAAACTGATAAGCAACTGATAATTTGCCAAAATGGACTTCCAGTAAATGAAAACAGATCTTTTTTTTTCTTTTTTTTTTTTTTTTTTTTTCTGAGGATAATGTACATATGGAGGTAACATATTGAGCCTTTTTTCTTTTTCTTTTTTCCCCCTATATAGTAATTCTGTTTCTCTACTCTTGCACCATTTTTTATTCAGTTCCATTATCTCCTTCCTTCTTTTTCACCCTGTCCTGCCTGTCTTTCCCATCTCATCCCCTTCTTCTTTTCTCTTTCACTTCTCACCTTTATTTCCTCCTTTTGTCAGTGTTAGCCACAATTTTCCCTTCCTCCTTCCCCTGTTAATTCTTTTCAACTTCTATATTCAAACTATTTCCATTTTCCTTTTCAGTTCTATGATTCTTTTCTTTCCTTATCATTTTCATTTTTATTCTTCATTTGCATCCTCCTCCATTCTTATTCCTCATTCTGAAGAGTAATAACCTCCTGTCTAAGCCAACCACAAAACAAAGGCAGAAACTCTGTTCAATAAATGCAAGCGAATGATGACAAAACTGTGTATTTTCCTCTCCATTTCTGAAGTAGAAACTGCTGTGATCAGAAGGAAGAAGGGCAGAAAGAAGATTTGGGACAGACTAACCTAACTCTCTGAACACGTGACATTAGTCTTTAGCACCTCTGAGATTACTGCAGGAAGTGTTTTAGCATCTTTGTCAATTTTGGTATAGCAGGAAATATTACAAGGAAATCAACAAAAACCTGTTTTTGCTTCCTTTTTTTGCCCAGATTGTGCCACTGCTGATGGAGCACAAGAAGTTACGGAAACAGTGTCGTCATCTTCTTCCTCCTCTTCAATTCCTTTTTTTTCTTCTTCCTTTTTTGAAAAGTATTCACTGAGAAAAGGAACAAAGATTGGTGGCTCAAAACATTGTCATGCATGTCAAAGGAGGCACGCTATATTCGCTGAAGAACATGCTGGAGATGGACTAAGAGCGTCTGTGTGAGATTCTGCCCTGATTGTGTGAAGCTGGACAAGTCAGTAAATTCCTGTTTTTGACAGTTATCTGCAAGACTGAATAAACAAAAAGAACCACAAGCAAGAATAACAGTCCTCAGCACGTGATTTTCAGGCTGCACTGGTTTGAAAGTGAGCTCTTCGTATACATCTTGAAGATAATCTTAGTGTACAAGATTCCCATTCACTTGGTATGACCCATACCAAGTACTACTGGTAAACCCTTCATGACTTTATGACATGTAGCAACTTGTTCTAAGTTGCTAATTCAGCAGGTCAGCTGTGCACGTCAGGCAGCTGCTTGCAATCCCGGAACTGCTGAGTTCAACTGCCTGCATGAAATGGAAACTGCATACATACGTGGTCACAGCCACCCAATTCAGACAGACTGAGTATCTAAGCTACATACAGTAACGTAAACAATGCAGTGAAATCATATCTAGATTCATCTTATTGTCTAAATCTAATTTGCATAAGTTCCTATTAGAAATGGCATAATTTTTATATCAAAGTTATGAATCAGCAGGAAATCATACACTGCAATATATCTGAATGGCCTTCTCATGCCAAGCATATAATATAATGTACTTAATATGCAAAAATATTTTAAAAATCATTAACTATTGTATATGCTTTTCACTTAAAGTATGAATTAATAGCATTTCAAATGAATGATTTGTTCTGCAGCAGCTTAAAAAAGTAGAAATTCTATGCAAGGCTTACCCAAGCATCTTATCAATTTCACATTGGTCAGTAGGCTTCCAGTCTCTTATCATTGTGCTTAGAGATTCATTCACCCATTCCACAGCAGTGGTAACAGAATCATTTCTCTCTTTCTCATCAGCTTCGGTTGTTTCAGATAAAGCATTCTCAGGTATTTGATAATGAGAAGAAATTATAGCAGAACAAATCCTCTGCAAAATAATACAGAAAAACTGAAAACACTAATTCTCACTTGGAAATGTCTTCTTAAAGATTAAGAAGTAGATGTCCTTATCAATGCTACAAGTACCCATCTGCAAATCTGTCTGCTCCACTTTGCTGATCTTTTTTTTATCCAGCACCTCCCTCCTGGTCTCTTACACCTCGGTAATCACAGACTTTGCTCAAGTTTCTCAATCTAAACTGTAACTACTTAAGAAAAAAACTTTTGAGAGATCTGCTTTACATATGCATTTTGTTATCAGAACATTAATTCTAAAGATCACACTCTCGTCATGGCATCTTTTACTGCAGTTGCTGTTAGCCTGTTGTACCACAATTCATTGGCATTTATGTTTAATGCCATGGCTCAGGACCACGTATATGTTGTCTTATTTAAGCCTATCTTTCTGTACCACAGAAGGATGAACAAAACTCACTTAATAAAGACATCATTTACAAATATCACAGAGTTGCCTTCATTAATGGTATTAACTTTGCATACTGTGAACATCTTTGAAACTATACTAAATTTCTTTACGTTGTCTCCTCTTTAGGGATCAAGAATGAAAAGAGCCAAAGTTTAACAGCAGGTATTTGAACTATCACCCACATCAGCATATTGGCTCAAAGAAAAGAAGTTCCTTCACCAACTCTTTGTGGATACTGTACAACTGTTTTTTTTTTTAACGTCACTATTTACTGAACTGGTGAGTTACGGGGATTCAATCCATTCACTAAAGCTGCAAAATAAAATGCTCACTAGGATATGAGTAGAATAGTACATTTCCCTGACAGTGACTTATTAAGTAAATCAGGAAGGAGCAGCTCACACCTTCTCATGGTTTTTCACTGTGCAATATATTTCCACTTCTAATGTTGGTTGACCAACTCCATCAAGAACTTTTCTTCCAGCTAGTTTGCATACGACTGGAGCTTTTGAAAATTTAGAGAAGTAGTTAGCCTTAAATGAAAGGGAAAGAACTCATTAGAAGGCAGTTTGTACGCAAACAGGTTTTTATTTCGTGTAGCAAATTATATCCACCATTGAGCAAATCCATTTATTCACCCCAATATCAAACATATTGCTGTTTATGTCTGCAGTATCTGCTTATGAATCATTCCAGGGAACAGATCCAACTTAAATCTCAGCCTGGGAAGTCCAAAACCACATCCAGGTTAGATAACATGTTTTATTTTGCAAAGTCAGTGATGGGTATCACTAAATACATCCATAGCCTCCTAGAAAACGTGTTTATCCAAGGTTTAACTGGATTTACGCTATATAACAAAAACAGTTGTGTTATTTGCCTGCTACTTGTGAAATCTGCTTCACACGGGAAAGTTCTCACCGTGCAGCAAGTCGATATACCATAATTATTTTATCTGTGGGTAAGATCTTGAAAAAAAGTGCATCTCTTAGTGTGGAATGTGTCAGGAGAGAGGAAAGATTCCAGAAAAGAACCCTCAGAAACGCAGGCAGAGCTGCGCGAGGTGCCGCGTTACCGCAGCAGTGACGCAGCTCTGAGGTCAGCGCTGGTAAACCTGGGGTTTCAGACGGAGCTGCGAGCAGAGCGCTCTGAATTATTTATCCAGCAAGGTCTGCAGTGGGCTTGGCACTGACATCACGGGCTGTGCGAGTATAGCTGGGGCTCATTTGTATTTCATGAACACCAGCGTCGCTTTAAATAAAAGATCACGTTGCCACGTGAGGCTTGTTACAGACTTTCTTGGCAGTTTCATCCTTTCGACAGAGCTTATGGCTCACGAGGAACCAGGATGCAACAGGGGCCGAACATCCAGTAAAGCCGGAACAGCGCCAGCACCATCTCCCACAGGCGATGGCGGCGCACCCGCAGACGGCAAACACTGTCACGTTTCCACACACACCGCCCAGCCCTCCGCTCCGCCCCGCCCTCCGCAGGCAGCGGCGCTCAGCCCCGCCCCACCGCCCCTCTCAGGGAGCGCCTGCGCGCCGCGCCCCGCTCCGTGGTACCAAATCTCCGTAGAGGTCCGCGGGGCGCAGCGGGGAGAGGGTGTTGAGCGCCTCCTCCATTCGCTGCGGCACTCGGTGGCCTCGGTAGTACTCCGCCGCCTCCCGCCGCAGCCGCTCGACTCTATCAGCCTCCATCGCGGGGCCGGCTGCTCTCGCGAGACTGGCGGGGCCGCCCTCGTGGCCGTTACCCCGAGGCGGGAAAGCCCTGAGGGGCGGCGGCGAGCCGGGCTCCTGAGGCGGGCGGCGGGCTGGCCGTGATGCGGAGCTTTGTGCGTCCTGCATTTGCCCTCGGGGCGTTGTGTTGTTCCTTTGCCTAAAACCGTGGGCTGCCTGCCTGCTCCTCCTTCGACTGGTTATGAGCAGGTATTGTTTAGTTCTAAAAGTCTCCGAACAACAAAGCTGTGTAAGATTATCGTCCTGAAAGAGAGACAGATTGCGGTCTGTGAAACGTCTGGTGAGGGTAGCGCTGCAAAACGCAGCTGCCTTTAAAAGCCCTTTACTTTCGATGAAAAGAAACGTTTCACAACCTAAATGATCATTTTTAGTCTGCGATTTCCTGCGAAAACTTTCACTTTGTTACGCTGCCCATTGGTAATTTTGTTGAAGTAACTGAAAATGGAGATACTTAAAAAGCTGTTAGCCGCAGCTTCCTCGGCTCTAAAATCAATACGTGTGGACCTCTGCTCATTGTACGTTTGCTTCTGTGGGCTGGGTGATAATGAAGAAAAATCCCCACTGAATCATTTTCTTTTCCTTTCACATCCTTCAGAAATAACATGGTGCTTCTCCAGAGAGTTAAACCCTCTTCT